ATATTGATCATTTTTTCGATTTCTCTGTAAGAAATAAGGGGAATTGATATTGGTATTCTGGTTAAGGTTCTGATTGGCATGATTTTCCATTCTTGTTTGTCGAGGTATAGCCAATGCATCCCCGATACGTGACATTTGGTCTGTTAATATCTCGAAACTAGTAGTAGTGTTTTGCACTAACGGGTTTAATACCGTAGTCAACTGTTGTGATAACATGTTAACCATCTCAAAGTTACTCTCATCCATTTGTTGTCGAAGTACTCCTAATGAACTGCTAGAGATTCCAGTACTAGTGTTTTCGATAGTCTCAAAATTGGATCGATGATAATCTCTATCGAATGTATATCTCCCATGATCCAGATTTGCTCTGTGATCTAGATTTGGAGGTGTCTGTTGTGTACCTAAATTCTGCCCACTCCCTGAATTCTGGGGAATCACTAAATTTTGAGACGCCCCTGAATTTGGAGATACTCCAAAATTTTGCGGCATACCTAGCGTTTGAAATGTTCCTAAGTTTTGAGGCATTCCTAGGTTAAATCTCGAATTTCGTTGCATTGAAGAAGTACCAGCCCCGTTCAGATTATTAAGCGAAAAATCAGGCGGTCTTACGCTCATATACGACCCTGCATATGTTGTTATCCCATAGTTTGCATATTGTTTGGTATCACAGTACTAGACCCTACTTGAGTATTTGCTAATGTACTTGAACTTTGTTCACTACTCACAGGTATCGACATACTTGCGGTTGTCGATACTACAGGCATATTCCCATTATGACCTTGCCCCCCAGTGTTTGGTCGATGTGAACCATTCAGACCATTTAGACCCTCACTATTACTCTGATTATTTGGTGGATTTTGACTCATTCTTATTACTCGCCCACTCCTTAATCTCATACACTTTCGAACTAACCAATTTTGTGTTTTTCGACACAAATGCGTCCCACCGGGCGTGCCAATTTGTTTCTGGTGGAATTTTGATCGATTTCGATTTCTAAGGGATTTTGTTTCAACCAAACTCCGACCACATAGATTCTTTTTACTTAGGCTAGCAAACGATTTTTCAATCGAAATATGTATGAGAATCGAAAGTCATGGTGTCCTAAATACTAATAACAACCTAATATGTGGACTAACAATCGAAAATGTTGTTTTTGATATTTTGTATTAAAATACTCAAAGTAAAGAAAGCAGTAAAAATGTTAAATCGAAAAGCAGTGCGGAACATTAAATTGCAAAGGAATGTAAAATGCGGAAACCTCAAATTGCATTAAATATAAATAGCAAGGAATTAAATTTGCAGAAATGTAAATAGCAGGAAATCGAGATTGCAGAAACGGTAAATGACAGGAAATCGAAATTGCATGAACGTTAAATGACAGGAAATCGAAATTGCATGAACGTTAAATGACAGACAACTTTAAGTACGGAGTTTTACATTGCAAATTGGAAATACAGAAACTTAAATTGCATGAACAAAAACTGTATCAAAGTAAATTGCATGAACGTAAATTACCAGGAAAAGTAAAGAAAGCGGTAAAGATACTCAATGAAAATGGAAATTCAGATCGCCAGAAACTTCATGATTTCGTCGTTCTCCGTTAGACTTTTCACTAGTATTTCTGTTCTCTCTGCCAATTTCATCTTCTTCTTCAGGCTTCATTCTATTTATAGGGCGCCCTTCAGATAACCTCCTAAGAGCGGTTAACAAAACTGTCACCACGATCCTACGTGCACGTACCTTTAGTCTGATAGTTTAAAAAACTGCACTTCACGTTCTCCCGTATAAGAGAACTGCTCCCTTAACCTTCGATCTCTGTCGTGGTTTAGAAACCATTTCCCATGTTCCCTGTGTGTTCATCGTTCCCTCGATTTCGATTTAAGACATTGAGTATTTTGAATTTTGCTTCTGATTCCCTTTAATTCTTAACATTGCGCTATTCTAATCTCTCGATTCTCTTCAACAATAGACATCGAAATTTGTTTCTTCGATTCTCGATTTTAATTCTCGATGCATTTTCATCTTTGTGGTCACCAGGTGTCCTTTGCCAATCTCATCAAAAGTACGTTCTCGATATCTTTTACCAATCATATAATCTTCGATTTTTTTCTTTCCTTCATTTTTCGATCCTTTTAATGATTTCCTACTAACAGTAATGATAATAAATTATATTACATTACTTATATTATAAAATATAATATAATTATAATAAAAATTATTTTAATGAGATCGTTTTCGATTTGGACAACCAATTTTTTTTATTAATTTTTATTTTATCCTTTATAATTTGAATTTTTTTCAATTTAAGTTTCTCTTTATTTACATTTTTTCCATTTATATTTTCAACCATTTATCTTTCTTATAATTTTCTTCGCTTACTTTATTTTTTTTTAATCTTTGTTATGTCCGATGTTTTTAATGAATTCTCGTTAAATTTATTAAATAATATCTGGACTAACATTAAATATTCAAAGTTTGCAATCAAGAGTATAAATATCTTCATTAGATTAATACGGGGGAGATATTTGACAAATGTTAACTTTGTTGAGTGATTGATACATTTGATAAATATGTTGAAACCATTGAACCATTTTTTTATCCGAAATAATACTCCCTCGAAATATCCTTCATTAGAATTTTGGATTAAACGTAATATATTTTTTATATATTATTAACTCATAGGGGAATCTCCACTTAATAGCATACTAGAAACATTTTAGATCCAACCTCAATTATCTTGTTTTCTTTCTCTCATGTTATCCATCACTCTTATTTAATAATTTGTTTTATAAGAAGAGAGATGAAGTTAATTTTTGAATAATTCAAAAATATTCGTTTTTAATATTTTTATTTTATTTTCTGAAAATCTAACTACTAAGATAATTATTCGTTAGTTATTAGATATAAACAAATAAACGCCGAGGACGAATAATATGTTTGATCATTTTAGAATGTGTCTGAAATGAGTATGTTACAAAGAGAACTAGATCACCATAATAAAGAGTCCTAAACCTATAGCAAATTGCTATTACACAGTGATAAGTGTCCTTCGCTGAGGCAATTATATTATCTTCTTCCTTACGTTGCCCACAGTATTTGTAGTAATTACAACTTACGATTATTGAAATAATAACTAGTAATAGTAAATTAATTATTTGTGTAGGTTTTTCAAATAATTTTACTAGTCATTGAATTAAATCAGTTCTGTTGTATACTTTTAAATTGATACTTTATTATTGCCCAACGATCTAATCCTATGACATTGTTTGAGATGTTCAAACAAATTGAACGGAATAAATTATATAATGATTAGAACAAACTAAAAGAATGATTTATTCAAACTATGTTGAACTAAAAAAAATCGATCAAGCAAACTGATAATCTATTTTGTTCTTCATAAAATCATTTGAAATAGGGATGACAAAACGGGTCAGCCCGCCCCGTTTTGGCCTGCCGCGCCTTTGGCCCACCATAAGCGGGGTGGAGTGGGCTGACCCGATATAGTCATGACGGGCTGTAAACCTTGGTCCGCCCCGCCAAGGGGCGGGCTGACGGGCTGGTCCGCCATAATTTAAAAAAATATATATTTTTTTAATAAATTTAATAATAAGATTATTATTTGTTTGTCAATAATTCAATATATATATATATATATATATATATATATTATTTCAATTTAATAATATAAATCAATACATTATTTTAAGAAATTATAATTTAGAACAACAATAAAATTTACATAATAATAAATAATAACAAATATATATATATATATATATATATATATATAAATAACGTTAAACTTATAAAATTTATATTTTTTATATTGAAAAATTCAAATACCTATTTCTTTTTTATTTGATAAAACGTCAGTATTATTCTTGGTTGAGTAATTCTTACACCTTTAATTCAAGTAATAAGGATAAAAATAATCAGTGCTTAGGATAAACAAGGAGAACAAGAGAGAAGGTTATGTTTCAGGAAGGAGAATATTTTTTGTGAGAATAAAACTTTTTTAATTCTCTTTTTAAAATTTTTAACTTTATATATTATCTTTATAATTAATTTTATTACAATAAAAATTATTTTTTTATTAATTAGGCGGGTCGCAGGCTGGCCCGCCCGTCCCGCAGGTTGGCCCGACAGGTTGGCGGGCTTAGCTGGACAAGCCAAAGCGGGCTGGTGGGCTGAAAACACCAATCCGTCCCGCCATATTATGGCGGGCTGGCCTGCCGGACCTAGCCCGTTTTGTCATCCCTAATCTGAAATGTACTCTTCTCAATCAAGGAGAATTTAATTAATCTTATTATTATTATTTGAAAGAAAATAGCATTCTATTCTTTCAACTAAAATTTTTACAACTCAAATTCATACAAAATTCATTTATTTATGATATGTCATTTCCAATTTTTATAGATAAACTGTAATTTGTGATCTGCCTTTTTTTTTTTTTTACCTTTGTTTTACTACTTTTTTACTTATTTATTAATATTTAATATTTTGTTATTTTTATTCTCTTATAAAATAAAATTGAACTCTTTCGCGTAATATACCTCTTATTTTGCTAAAATATATTTTTGAAATCCAAAACTCTCGTAACGGAAAGAGGTAAATCCAATCCAACAAAGAATAGGACATGGTAATTTGTATAATGAAGAGTAATAAAACGGGATTAATAAACAATTTTGAATTGAAACCAATACAAACTCATGGGATACACTATAGCCAAAGTAATGCTCTCACTTGAATGAAGACTCGGCTATTAATGAATAAATTATTACAAAATAACTGCAAAACATATATTAGGTTTTGAGAAAAATCAATATGCTTTAGCTGCACAGGGTGAGTTATAGAGGCAACAGTGTGACATGGTGGAGGAGGCGAGGATGATGGTCGAGGTGGAAACTTATATTAATATGGAGGAGGTGCAGAGGGAGACTTGTATACGTATGGAGAAGGTGGTGAAGGAAGTGATGGCGACCTAGAAAAAAGCGAAGGAGATGGAGGTGGTGGAGATTTGTAGTAATGGTGGGGTGGAGACTGGTGCACATATAGAGGAGGTGGTGAAGGAGATGGTGGTGGTAGTGACTTATGGACATGCGGTGGTGGAGGAGACGGTGATGGGAGGGGTGGAGATTTGTAGTAACTTACGGAAATAGGGTGGAGGATGAAACGGTGATGGTGGAGGTGGAGGAGGAGATTTGTAATAAAATCGAGTACGTGGTGGTGGTGAACTGTAAACATATGGAGGTGGTGGCAATTCGTATGCATATGGTGGATGAGGGGACTTGTAATATGGTGATGGAGAGGGAGGTGATGGTGACTCATAAACATATGGTGAAGGATGTGCTGCTGGTGGAGAGGGTGGTGGAGGAGATTTATGATCATAAGGTGGGCTTACTTGGTTATATGGTGGTGTTGGATATGATGGTTGGCCACAATAAGACTTATCATCAGCACCAGCACAGATAGCCATTATGCAAAATGCTAAAGCAAGAAACACTAGAGGCCATTGTCTGGTTCCCATCTTCATTGTTGGTTCAGAAGAGTTATTATGATGATCTGTTAATTCATTCAAAGTATGAATTGCATGTCATTATATATAGTGTTTGCCTTCAGCCATGCTGATAAGATACCTTCTCAGGTCACATACTGCCTTAATGTTTGACATTGTAGTTTCCATGAAACGGTCTCATTTTGTTCAACAATCTGGGAACAAAGTCAAATGCAAAACTAGCTTGAATTTTCTGTCTTTTCTTTATAATTAGATCTGTCTCTTTCTTCCTGATGGCTATATATATATATATATGGATTATAAAAGCATAAACTTACCTTGCTTGTTATTCTTACGTAGTGGCTGAAAACTTCTTTATAGTTGACAAATGACTGCATCTAGAAAATTTGCATTTGACTTTTAATATTTAATTTCCATTTCACAAATGCCCGTAGACCTACGTTAATTGTTTTTTCACACCTATTTTTCTATTAGCGTCTCCGCCTCACTCTAGCTTAATTTTTATAAACCCTAATTCACAGTCATGCATGCACCCCTATGACAGACAAAGGAGAGATCCGACGCACCTTCCGCGTCCTCCAATCCCTCGTCCTATTCCTTCACATTCACGAAGTCGCAGTTTGCAAGCCCTAATGTCACCCTAACCACTGCATCGAAATTAGATTAATCTTTCATCACCTCTTCTACCGTTGATAATTTGTAGGGCTTCAATATGGACACCGATGGAAAGATCAAGTAGGAGGACGGAGGAAGGACGGAGGAAGGACGGAGTGTGGTCCAAATAAGAAGCCGATTTCAAAGCCCGTCAAGTGTTGAGTTACGCAAGCTGCAACATTCTCGTCAGGTTCTTTTCATTCTTTATCTTTTCTATTTGAGAAAAATATTGAAAAATATCTGTGCTTAATTAAAAGTATACACTGTTGGATATAAACAAACGTGTGTGAAAATTTTAAGAAAAAAAAAAATAAATGTGTGCTTGAGGATAATTCAATAATATATAATCATTAGGAATTTCCTATTTGTGACAGCTTTTGATACCATGATTATTATTTTTATCAAATATATATAAATGGAGAGAGATAAACAAAGTGAAAGTCATGTGATATATCTAAATAGTAGAGAAAAATATATAAGAAATTAATAAAATATAAAAATACAGTATTACATTTTATCCAATATATAAGAGAAGAGAGAAAACTTAGTGTAATTCATGTTGTGATGGCAAAATCGGTCGACGAATTGGTGTGCGGATGGATTAACGGATCTTGTTAATATTTTTTTATATAAAAATTTTTTTATATTAATTTTTTAAAAAATATATCTTTAATTATATGAATAATATTTAAATTTTTATTTATAAATTAATATTTTATTAGATAAAATAAAAATATTATTATATTTGTGTGTTAAATAAATAATTATAATTAATAATTTAAATTTAATTAAATAATATTTATAATTAAAATTATAATTTTATAATATATTTACATAAAGATATGTAATAATTTTAATTATAATATATAAATATTATTTATAGTGTGCTAATGAATTAATCTATTCCGTTCTTGACCTTTTGAATTGACGAGTTAGGTGAATCAAGTTATAATAAAATGGTGGATTAAATTTATTCAATATTCTTTTTAGGTGGACTAATGAATTGGTCCATTAAATCTAAATTTATTTGTTTTGTCATCCTAAAATTTTGTGATGATAATGATGAAAAAGAATGTGGTGTATTAAGGGGAAAAAAAACAAAAAATTAAAAAAATTAAGAAAATAATAAGCATAAACAGACGTTAAATGTTATGTGTTTCCATTGGTCATCATAAATGAGAGCTAAACATGTAAGTTTAGATATAATTTAATAATAGTGAGGATTATAGTGTTTTTTTTTTCTGTAATATTTGATATGTTAAAGAAACAAACGTTGTAACCACTGTATGTAGTATTATGATTTTAATTGAGATGTTTAGTTCTTACCATTATATTTTGTATATCGAATTTGATTGAAGAGGAAAATAATGAGTGAGAGTATAATTCAATACAATTATTTTTACTAATTGATGATACCTAACGACGAGTATACCAAAATTAATTTTCATAAGCAGTAATGTCGGATTAAATTTTTTTAAACTAATAAAACTTAATTAGAAGAATAAACTTTATTAAAAGCGTTTGGTAAAATTATCAAGATATAACAAAGTGTAAATATTTTACCTCCATTTTGCATAGTCATTAAACTAAAACTATGAATTGAGTGAAGAATAATTTAAACTCGGAAGAAGAACTGGGAAAAGAAAAAAGAAATAGATATCATAAGAAAAGAGTAATTTTATTATACAATGAAAATTATATATTCCTTCGGTTGGTTTTGCTTTGAAATATGAGTGATTATGCTGTTTTAAATACGTGTGGTTCAAAAGTGGAAGTAAATAAATCAAGATAATCTAATTAGTCTATTATAAATAAAATTAATTATGAATATTAAAATAATTATTGGAACTCAGAAATAAATTATTATGTGATTTTATTTTAATTTTTTTTTAATATTTTATTTATTTTAAAGTATTTAAAAACTGGCACGTTGGAGTGCCAACTTGGTATATATGCATTGGTAATTTCTACTCCAGTTCATAGCTTAGCACCTCTTTGTTATTACTATAAAACAACTCGTTTTTATTTCTGTTATAAGTTAATTTAGTATTTGATAATACATGAAAAAGACAACAAAAAGTCATATAAAAATTCAATAATTAAAATTTTTTCAATTATATAAGTTAATGAGAAATTATTGTCCGATGTGTGGCCTATACCGAAATGAATGAATTATGTTCGACTTTTAAGTATAAGCCTACATATTAAGAAAGTTTGGCAACATTGAGAAGTTTTAAGTTAAAATATATAACACTATTTTAATTTAAAATGAAAAAATATTAAATATCGAGTTTCTTATATTAATATATTATTCAATTTTTCCTATTTTATGGGTGATGAGTCATACTTACATTGTAACACATCTTTTTTTACTAGAACACGAGTTAGGAAGATTAATTAGAATAGAAAGTTAAGAAAAATTATAATTATTATGATTAATCAAATTAAAAATAGAGTTAGTATGAGATTAAAGGAGGAAGTATATCACAAATACTGTGGTGAAATTGTTGTTGTTTAAAAGATAGAATTAAAAAAGACAAGTAAGCCAAAAATTTGCTGTGGCCAAACAGTGTTGTTGTTAAATACTGCTTACACGACCACATCAGAATCCGTGATTCAGAATTTATGTACAACAAAAATAGATGTATGATCAAACAACCAATAATCCCACATTGGAAGGTGAAGCCTCAACATTTTCTATCTTGCATCTAAAATTGTGATGGAAATTTCATTATGTGAGTTGGGTTTGAGAATTGCTGATGAAGAATTTGTATCAGACGTAGCATCTACTTCAGTATAAAATGCTGGAGCCTTTGGCTTTCGCAATAATTTATCACCATTTAACATTAGAACAACTGATGACATATCTGGCCTATCTTCTGGTCTTTGTTGCACACATAATAGGCCCACCTGTATGCATCGTATGACTTCAAAGGGCACACAAAATAGATCTTCCAACACTTCATCCAGTAACTCCAAGGTTTTCTCTTCATTCCATAATCTCCATGCCTAAAATGGTCAGAATTGATTCAGTACAAGAGAATAATTCAATTTGTACTAGTTAGGATAATTAGTAGCATAATCAGATCAGTTACTTACATATCCTAGAAGATTATTGTTGTATTCTGGGTCTAAAAATTCTGTGTTTCTCTTCCCACTTACAATCTCTAGAACTATAACACCATAACTAAAGACATCTGATTTCACTGAGAAATGTCCACGTGCAGCATACTCAGGAGGTATGTAACCACTGAAAATTAATGTTTTCAACGTAAAATAATTAGAATTTGGCAGCACAATATCTAAGCATGCTAATCATATAGAATCTAACTCACTATGTTCCGGCCACCCGGTTTGTGTTTGCCTCAACTTGATCTCCCAAAAATGATCGAGCCAAGCCAAAGTCTGATATTTTGGGATCTAAATTTGCATCTAGTAAAATGTTGCTAGTTTTTAGATCTCTGTGAATAATCCTCAGCCTAGAGTCTTGATGAAGATAAAGAAGTCCTCGAGCAATGCCACTAATAATGTTGAAACGCTTATGCCAATCTAGGAACTTCCTTTTGGTTTCATCTAGTCAAATACACACACAGATTTAGCTGAGCATTTGTTGTCTCCATAATTTCCTAAACTATTTGTAAGAAATAAGAAGATTGCAAGATCTTTAGAGTAAATCATAAGGGCTCCAACCAAAAACAAAGTAGTCCAAGCTCTTGTTTGACAAGTACTCATAAATCAACATATTTTCTTCTCCTTCAATGCAGCAACCAAAAAGCTTTACAAGATTACGGTGCTGAAGTTTGGAAATGAGTGCCACCTCATTTTTGAACTCCACCAATCCTTGTCCAGACTTATTTGAAAGCCTCTTCACGGCTATCTCTTTCCCATCTTTTAGTGTGCCCTGAAAAACAATTTCTGGCATGGTTAGAAACTTTAGGATGTTCTTAAAGAAAATACAAATTCTAGATATAGTTTTCGTTATCACCTTGTATACTGGTCCAAATCCACCTTCCCCAAGCTTGTTTATTGGTGAAAAATTTTCAGTGGCAATAACTAAGACTGACATATCGAAAGTTGGCAAATCAATGTCTTCCTTCCTCGGTACTATATTTTGGTAATGCCTCTTGAAGATTTTTCTTGCAGCCCCTAATTTGGTTGGAAAATAACTGTAAATAAACATTGAGATGCTAGATTGATTGGATTAAATGCTAAATTTTTTCTATGTACTTACCTGGATTTTTAATTATAAATATGCATACACATAATATGATTACTCCAAAGATAGTAGCACCAACAGCGATTC